GTAACCCCACCTGGGAGGGGACATACACCTGTAACCCCACCTGGGAGTCAGAAGGAGAATGATCTTGATAGTTCCAGATTCATTTGAGACACTGTCTCAAAACCAATGACAAAAATTACTCATTTAAAGTCAGCCTCCCGGGCTGGAGAGATGGCTCAGCGGTTAAGAGCATTCCCTGCTCTTCCAAAGGTTCTGAGTTCAATTCCCAGCAACCACATGGTGGCTCACAACCATCTGAAATGAGATCTGGTGCCCTCTTCTGGCCTGCAGGCAGACACACAGACAGAATAAATAAACAAATTAAAATAAAGTAAAGTCAGCCTCCCATAGGGTCCTCCTTTATCTGCACACACAGTCGAGGAGTACCCTGCTGGCAATGGGGACTGGGACATCATACAACAGACCTGCTTAGGTCAGCCGGTCTGGGATGTTTATTATTTTAGTGACGACTGCGTCTAGCTCCGGTCTCCCTGGGTGACAGTGAGAGGCCCGTGGCTCTCTCCTATGTTCCTACGTTTCTCGTAGGAGGGCACTCTTCCTGAGATCCCAGCTGGGAGCCCAGCCTCTTGGGAACAAGTGCGTGGGGACCCTCAGCTGGCACTGACTCATGGCTCCTGAATCCAGTACGCCAGCCATCAGCAGCTGGCCGCCCCTGCCCACCCCAGACAGGGGTCCCTGTGTGTGCAAGGAAGGACATGTCCCCAGGGACAGACAGTCAATTATGACCCAGACAAGGGCCTGCTGTTGTAAGTTGTTCTAAGTCCTGTGTCCACAGCTCTGAAAGCTGACCTTCTGCCTCTGGCAGGAACTTTTAACCCACGGGGTTCAAGAGCTACCGGGACTTTGGCACCAAACTGGGCCCCTGTGTGTTTTCCTTCTGCTCTTCAAACGCGATTCCCAGAAAGTTGAGCGTCATTGTTTCCAGAGTGGGACGTTTGTGCAGTGCTGTCCCCATCTTTTCCCAAGGGAATGGCAAACCTCAGAGGTTCTGTACGTCTCCGACTTCCCCAGGAGAGCTGGTGAGAAGTAGGGAACATGAGACTCAGTGGTGCTGATGGAGGTACAGCCACGCTGAGAGGGGTGGGCCCAGACTGTATAAAAAAGGTTTGCCCATTGGATATGTAGACACGCTGTATCGTTTTCCTTTTCATTTCTTGGTTTGTTTGTGAACGTGAGCTCCCCCCACCCCCCACTTTGAATTTTGGTGGGGGAATTCAGCCGTTCCTAAACTGATTTATACAACTCTTCATGTTTGAAAGAAACTTAGCCCTGGCTGTATATGCACACATTTTATTTCCCAGCCTGCCATTTGTCTGTTCACTTAAAAAATAACACCATTGGGGCATTTAAGGTGTTTGTTTTGTTAATTTGGGTCTGGAGAGAAAAGAGAAAAGCTCACAACCTTGAATATGAAAACTCTTTGGTGGTTAGAGCAGGGATGCAGAGAGCATTCAGGGAACTGTGCCGGTCATTGCAGACCACAGATGCCTCCCCCGCCGACCTCAGCAGTCTGACCCTGCCTGCTGCTGTGCGCTAGGTCTCAGAATCCCTTCTGTTTAAAGGACGCCGGCTGGAGCTGGGGAGATGTGCTGGTGACAGAATAGGAGATAGCTGGATTTGCAGACTTGGTACTGAGGTCTTTGGGGGAGGAGTCACTGAGTCATGTGATTCATGGCATGACCAAAGCTAGCCCAGAGCTCTGCGGAGTCAGGGAGCCAGGGAACTGAAGAGCCAGCAGGCTGGGATGGAAGCCAGTGGGAGGGGGGCTGGGCTTCCTCTGAGTCATCTCCAGTGAGGATGCTCTGCCCTACCTGCACCCACACACTGCCAGGGAGAGCCGGGCTGTGCCTACAGCTATCTAGTCCTGGTCCTTGCTGGGTGATGGTCCTCACAGAGTGATGTCATTGTCTTCTTGTCTGTCCGTTTGAGTTTGGTCATGAACGCCATTCTGGTTACCAGTTCCCTCAAAGCATGGCTTCCGGCTGTGTTTCAGTTCAGGCGTTCTGTTGGTTATGTTGTGTGTCTTGTAGTTATAATTCTTCTTGACTACTTTTTTCCTGTCAGAGGTGTCTCTACTTCTTCTCATTCTCTTGGTTTTCTTTTGTCGTTCTTTCCTAGTGTGGGTGCTAGGGAGGACTAAACCCAGGGCTTCCCACATGCTGGGCCAGTACTTCCCATGGAGCCCAGCCCAGCCCTGCGTTGTCTTTATGAGGTCCACACCTTCTTGGCTTAAGGTTCCTTTTGTGGTTCTCTTTTACCTCCAGCAACCCCCGCCCCCAACCCTTGGTGCCTTTGACCCCAGGAGAGACCCCGCTAAGCTCAGCTTTCCCGGTATTCTCATTCAGCTGAGCATCTCAAGGTCAATTTTCATTTCCTTCATCCAGACTTGAGGCTATGAATTTTCCTCAGGGTGCAGCTGTGGCTCCATCATCAGAGTAACGGATGCGTGTGCTGGTGCGGTGAGGTGGCCCCAGCCCTCAAGTGTGTGATGTCAGAGCAGGCCTTCCTGTATGGGAGCTGGAGCAGGCAGCAGGGGTCAGAATCTGACCCCAGCCCTTCTCCTGTTCCTGATCGAGAACCGAGCCCTCATAGGTCTACTCTCAGTCCGTCTCTCCCAGTGTTTCTCAGCAGTCTGTCCCACTGGCTCCTGCTCAGTGTTCTGGCAAATAAAGCTCCACAGACCCCTCTTCTATGCATCTGAAGTAGCCTGTGATGGGTACAGTGCCGCAGCATGTATGCCATTTTCTTCCTGGGCATTGTGAGAGACCAAAGGAGGCTGGCTGTGATGACGTGGCCTGTCGGGACTTGGTATAAGGGCAGTAGGGATGGATGCCAGGCATTAGCAAACAGATCAGGCAGCATGACTGGGTCACACTGCAGCAGGAACTGGCCATGGGAGGTCGAGAAGGGAGGGAGGGAGGGGAAGATAGGCTAAGGGGAAAAGGGTGGAGCAAAGAGGCCACCCTGAAGGCCATGGGGGAAACTAGGACACAGCCCAGGAGACCTCACTAGCAGGTGGCCCCACTTCATGGCTTCAGCCTCTGACCTCTGCTGGCTGGGACACTGCTTCTGCCATGACAGAGCCAGGTGAGCCAAGACGGTGTTGGGCCTCCTGCTGACGGTGATCTGTTTTTAGTGACTTCCCCACGGCTAAAGCACTGTTGGTCGGTCTGGCAGGAAGAGTTTCACGTGGCACTCATCTCTAAATGTTCACGTCCCCCATTTTCCAAGGTCCAGATTGCATAACTTCTGGGTCCAAGTCCATTCAATATTTGCAGTGGGTCTTATGGTTTTTGTACAACTGACATCGTCCCCATTAGCTGTTGGGAGAACTCCAGGCGGGGGTGGAAGAGTCACAAGGGCAGGAGACAGAGCTGAACGCAGCGCAGACACAAGTCTTTTCTGCCCTCTGGAGGCCTTTTCCAGTCGCAGGCACCCCCAGCCTCGGCAGAGAGAGTGGCACCGTCCACAGCAGTGAGCCCGTCTATGTGGAACGCTGTGTCTATTGCTGAGACCACCCGAAACACCCCTGGCCAGCTCTGCCCTTAGGAAGCTGTTTTCTAGTGTTTAAACCCAATTCCTCCTGACCCTGGGGGCTCTCCACTGTCACCAAGGCACCGGCTGCAGCCGCTCGGGGGGGGGGGGGGGCTTCTGAAGTTGTCCATTCTGTCCCCAGATGCTGTGTTGACCTGAGAAAGCTGGCTGACAAGAAGTGTGCCTCTCCCTGTGACTGTGGCAGGGACTGATTGGTGCAGGGCTCCTGGGCATGGGTGATACCCACCCTTACACACACACACACACACACAGAGTCATATGCTCCTTCTCACACAATTGTATGTACTTACTGATGTGTTGTCCTGGTGTTACTAGCTTGGTAGAACTCCCAGAATCCGCTTGGACCCAAATCCAGCCAGATCATTCTTCACCTGCTGGTCCAATACTGTCCCTCTGATCTTTTTAGGGAGTACAGATACCAGTTCTGTTTCCCCCTGACCTAGAGGCCTCCCGAATCTCAGACCACCATAGCACATGGGATAGAGGACATGTAGTCCCTCCTGTCACAGTGTTGGTCCTGCGAGGTCAAGCCCTGTTTCTTGAGGCCCACAGGGTTGACCTAGCCTAGAACTTTCTTTCTGTTGCTCCTTGCCAGAGACTCTCCTCTTGTGACCTTGGATGGGGCCTGGGTTTCCTCATGGCCAGTACATTGAAATCTGTGGCTTGTGAGGATGGGCTCTGCTGGCCCAAGGGCTTTGTAGGGATTCTGCCCCTGTCCTCTCAGGTGCCGGGGACTCTGTAGATTGTGGTGACTTTGGGAGAGAGTGGGGGTAGGCAGGTGAGGGTAGAGAGCATGCAGAGGGACCTGTATAGTCTCACTAGTTTGGTCTAAGCAAGGGACACTAGTGTCAGACCTGTGTATCCCAGCTACTGAGGGCAGCACCTGGGAGATGGTGGTCCCCATGTCCCATCACATGGGTCACTGAGAGCAGCTTCTCAGTCTGCTGCTGTCGAGTGACGTCACCACCTCTCTCTCACATGCCTGGGGATAACCCAGTAGACATCAGTGTCGGATAGCGTCAGATAGCTGTCAGGATTGCAGATATCTAAGGACCTGAAGCCAAACCACCCTCAGTGTGGGCCTGCTGGGTGCTGCAGGTGTGAGCTGTCCCATGCAGGTGTGAGTCCCATGTATGTACCAAGCATGAGTCCCACATATGTACCTGATGTGAGTCCCATGTATGTACCTAGCATGAGTCCCACGTATATACCTGGCGTGATTCCCACGTATGTACCTGGTGTGATGTACCCCGTGTGTGTATGCTTTTTCACTGCCAACGAAGGCCTTGCCCTGGCTGGAAATGACCAAGTCAAAGTGTTTGTGGTGAACAGGGCTCTCCTGAAGCCTGCCTCCCTCTCCCCTACCATAACCATCTAGCAAGCCAAGCTGTGTGTGTGTGTGTGTGTGTGTGTGTGTGTGTGTAAAAGGGAGAGAGAGAGAGACCTAAGCAAGCATACATGTACACAAACATACTTTGCTATCCTCAACACTGGGAAGAGTCGTGGAACGCGGGGACCAGGGTAGATTTATCCCTGAGTGGCTTTGACCCCATGAACAGTGTCGGGGGAAGTATTTCTCAGAGAATCCAGACTGAAGCAAGCTTTGAGATGAGAAGAGATAAGGGGGACCTCAAGCCTCAGGAACATCCACCGGGGGATGGAGGTGGGACTGTTAACTGTCACATGTCTCTTGTGGGGGACAGGGAGGTGTGGTTGGTTGAGTCTCAGCTGATGAAAACATCTGGATTGGGGACATTCCCTGGAATAAACAGGACACTGACTAGTCAATGCAGCATGGGCAGCCATCGCTGGCTCCCGCACCAAGCTAGGGTGATGGCTACATTTTCAAATGGCCGGAAGAATCAAGAAGTTATTTTGTGATGTGTGAAACTGGGTATGGAATTCAAATTTCAGTGTTTCCATGACAAGTTTCGTTAGGACAGTCACACCCTTCCCTTAGTGTTGGTATGTATTGTTCACACAAGCAGACTGAAAAGCCAGAGGGAGGCACTCCCCATCGGGCCACATAGAAATCTGCCCGCCTCCATCCACTCAGTTCTGGCTGTGATAGGAGTCTAGAAAATCTCTTTGGAATTGAGGAAGTGCGGTCTCTATTTAGTAAACTGAAATTAGCGTAATAGAGTACAGTCAAAGTAAGAACATAAACACGGGGAAAGTGCTGTGAACTCTAGCACATCCTGTGGGAAGCTTGCAGGGTGCCCTCAGACAGACACCCCGGAGCCTGCATAAGAGCCAGCGATCTAGGCAGGAAGTGTGAGATGCGGCCACGTTCATTGATGAGTGCATCTGATCCTCAAGGCCTCCCTTGCCTTGGCCCAGAAACTACCACAACTTGAAAGCCGTTGAATGAGTCTGCTCCTTAGTCTTGACAAAAGGGAGCTTCCCTGGTAGCATCAAGCTAGGCTGGGGGCCAGCACGAGTCAGAGGCTCTGCCCAAGCTTCTGCCTCCAGGGCCCCAGGATCTTACTCTCTCTCCCTGTTTTTGTAACCGAATATCTGACCAGGAACCACTTAAGAAAGGAAGGCAAGTGTTTATTTTGGCTTTGCAGTTTGAGAGGTGTCTGTGACGTGAGGGGAAGCCCGGCTGAGGCAGCTGGTCACATTGCAGCCAGGAAACAGAGTGGACAGGAAGCAGGGTAGGGCTGGAAAGTGTCAAGGCTGTCTCCCAGTAACCCAATTCAGTGAGCCTCCGCCTCCTAAAGATTCCACCACCTTCCCAAACAGTGCCACCAACTGGCAACTGAGTGACCCAACACCTAATCCACTGAGCAACATTTCATTTTCAAGCTAATGACCGTCTGCCTCCCTCCAGGGAAAGATCTCAGAGCTGAAGATACGACAGAACCCCCGGGTGAGCCCTGTGCACTGCTTGGATGAAGATGATGATGACGAAGACAGAGTAAGTGACTGGGGGTGGGGTGGGTATCTCCCCGTTCTGAGCAAGGATCCCAAAGTGATACGCTGGGAAAAGCCAAAAGATGCCAGCCAGTAGGGTGCCAGGAATCTATGTGTTCAGACACCACTCCTGCCTTAACTTTCCATTTCGGACCACCTGGAAAATGTAAATGTCAGAGACCAACCCACAGTGACACAGTGTGATGGACAGATCACACTGTGGAAAGTGCATACGTGCTTGGTTGTGTGTATGTTTATAAGCTATGTGTGATGTGTGTTTATGGGGGGTATGTCTGTCTGTTGTGTGATTGTGTGTATCTCTTTATGTACTGTATGTGTCTTTTGTATGGTATGTCTGGTCTTTGTATTTTTTGTCTGCTGTTATCTTTGTGCTGTGAGTTGTGTCTCTGCACAGTGCATCTCTTATGTGTGGTATGTGAGCTGAGTAGTCTGTGTGTCTCTCTGCATGTTGCTGGTATGTTTGTTTTTGGTGTGCTGGGCATCTTTCATGTGTGATCTGTATGCACTGTATCTCTGTGCGTTCCTGTTTTCTGTGTGTATGTATATAATATCATGACACCCGAGGAAAACAATCTACTTGTTGCCAGAGGACAGGATTGGGGGGATGTCCCAATGGAGACAGCACATGACAACACCCCAGTCACCAGTTCCTCTTGGGCAGAGCCTGGCTCCACGTTGGAATGCCAAAATGTTGTTTGTCTTTTACCCTCTTGGCTCTTCTGGGGGCTCACCACCCAGCTCCTAAATAAATTACAAACGGAGGTTTATTATTGCTTATAAATAGCTGGCCTGAGGTTGGCTTATTTCTAGCCAGATTTTCTTAACTAATTATCCCATCTACCTTTTGCCTCTGGGCTTTTTCCTTTTCTTACTTCTGTAATCTTCCTTTCACTCTTACTTTGTGGCTGACTGTGTGGCTGGATGGCTGGGTGAATGGCCCCTAGTGTCCTCACCTTGTTCTTTTGCTCCTCCTTCTTGTCCTCCCTGATTTCTCCTTCTGTTTATCCTCTCTGCCTGCCAGCCCCACCTATCCTTGCTCCTGCCTCACTATTGGTCATTCAGCTCTTTATTAGACCATCAGGTGTTTTAGGCGAAGAATCATAGCTTCACAGAGTTAAACAAATGCTATATAAAGAATGTAACACATCTTTGCATCATTAAACAAACGTTCTACAGTATAAGCAAATGTAACACATCTTAAAATAATATTCTACAACAGTGATTACCTTTTCCAGGAGAAAAATCAGAAATGTGATTGGCTTCTATCTAGTACCAGTCTCTAGTGCATGGGTAACGTTCACTCATGAGCATGCCATCCAGTGAGTGTGCACACATGCTGCCCATGCTGGGTGTCTGCAAGACCATCCCTCCTGGGCCACCCTGGCATCGAGATGTCACTATGGGCTCTATGGGCCCGGGTAGTATTTCTCCCTTGGGTTTATATTAAGTTATCTACCTTAACAAGAGGAAGGGCTGGCCCCTGGCTTCCCCAGAGCTCCTGGAGGCTGTAGGGAAGGGAGAGCATGAAAGCTGCCTGTCCAGGCAGATGATGGGTGGGGCACGGTTGTGATGTATGTACGCTCCATGTATGCTTCTTCAGTGTCAGCCTGGACTGGGGTTGCCTAGGGCAACTTCCTACCTCCCTTGCCTGTCCCCTAGGGATGGCAAAGATGGGGCAGTCATGCCACAGGACAAGAGTGCACAAGCCTGATCTACAACCTTCTGGTCTACAACCGGGCCATCCTGGCTTGTCTGAGCAGCAAGTCTGACTGATTTAGACCCAGGAGGAGTCTTATTTGCTGTCCAGTTGCTATCCTGCCATGAGGCCTCTGGTCCTGACTTCTTCCTCACTTCTCTCACGCCCTGCAGGCATCTGGAGACTTTGGAAGTGGCTTTGAAGAAAGCAGCAAGCCACACAGAGAGGAGGTGAGTACCTGTAGGTGGTGAGGCCATCCCTTGGTTCAGGCAGGGGAGGGGAAATATGGTCTGTGTATAATGTGTATAAATGTGTATGACATACCAGCAGTCCTGCGTCATGCCAGTACATGCCCAACAGGGAGGCACCAGTCTGTGGCTGATCTTGTATCCCCCCTCTGGCTCTACTGTCTCTTGTCCTGAGCCAGAAACTCTCCTCCAAAGAGAGCTTTCTCATCAGCATTTTGTTGATGCTGTTGGCTAGTATGGGACCATAACTGGTTTGTGTCTAACATGAGGACCAGACCAGTGACATTGCAGGGAAGTTTCTGGACAAGCCACATTGCATGCTTTTTCCAGTCCAGGGTCCCAAGAACACAGAGGGACTCTAGATAGGAAAAGAATGTTTGAGTGAACCCCCTGGACCCTTCTGGGCCCCCAGCATCTAGTATGCAGAGCCTGTCTTAAAGGTGGACCTTGGGTGTTAGGGCCAAGAAGACTGCAGGATGCTAAGTAGCCTAAGGATGGCCACCACGGCCAGAAGAGGTGCTGGGGCTCCCTTAACGTGTGGACTGGGGTAGGGACAGGCAAGTTTTTGGGATAGGGAACATAGTCATCTGGAAATCTGGGACTACATTCTGCATCCCTTGATGGTCATAAACTCTTCTCCTCACAGATGTGGGTTAGATTTGCAAAACTCTATTTCTACACACGGTGCCCTGGGCATGGCAGATGCTGGAAGCACAGATGTGCCTGTGAGTGCCTTGTCACATCAGTACTGTCTTGTCTGTAGACCAGCTAATAACTAGCTTGGGCTCTCATACCATCCTTCCTCGTAACCTGCTCACTCCAGCCAGGAGCCTGACCCTGCAGTCACAGGCAGTGACTGTGTGAGGGGTTCCCTGAAGGGCCCAGCCAATCCCTTCAAAGGGTGAAAGCTGCGGACCTCTGGTGTCCCATGCCCACCCTGGTCTGTGATGTCTGTGGTGTGACAGTGGCATCAAGCGTCCAGAGGAGTCCTTGTTCAAGCCCCAACACTACCGCAGCCTAGAGACTCCCCAGGGCCCAATCTACCTGGACCTCACTGTTACCGATAGGAAGTCATCAGGAATCTAGGTCATGCTGCTGTGTGCCACCAGGTCCCCTGAGTGAGTTTGAAACTGGCACAAGGCAGAGGATCTGCAGGGTAGACCAGCAGCCTCCACTAGAACAATAAGAAGTCAATGCCCGGCCAGTGCTTGGCTGGGGCCGAGGGAGAAGTCTCTGTCATGACCCTCCTTGAGAGCACACTTGCTCCATACACCCAACTGTGATTCCAGAGGACCCTACTTTAGGCTTCTCTGATGTTCTCCAGCCACAGGAAGTATCTGTACTAGGCCCAGAAAGGCTCTTGTCCCTAGTTCTCTGGCAATGTCAAGTTTTAGGAATTAAGGACTATTGAGGTGTAGGACCCAAGCCTCCAGGCTGATGGACACCTTCAGCAGATAGCTCTGCAGAAAGTCCTGGTGATTCATCTCAACTAGAGTGAAGGTTTCCTCATCTTCCTCAGAATCCTGTCAAGCAGCCCATTTCACAAGCTGTAGACCCCAAAACCAGACGGAACTGCAGCTCATCCATGCACGGCATAGTTGCGCTTCTGAATAACACAACCAGATTTCCTGCTCTCCTCTTGCAGGATATATCTCTAGCACCCAGGCTCCCCCAGCCACCCCCTGTCACTTCCCCACCCCTGGCTGGAGGCAGCACCACAGAAGACTCTAGAACAGAAGAAATGGAGGAAGAAACCACGGTAGAGTCTGTAGGAGGTAAAACTTTTCTAGATGTGCTCTGTGTGTATGTGAGTGTGTGTGTGTGTGTACATGTGTCGTGTGTATATGTATGCATATGCTTGTATGTGTGTGTGAGCATGAGTGTGTGTATGTGTGTGTATGTATGTATGTGTGTATATGTGTGTATGTATGTGTGTATGAGTGTGTGAGTGTATATGTGCATGTGTGTGAGCATGAGTGTGTATATGTGTGAGTGTATATGTACGTATGTGTGTATGAATGTGTGTGTGTGTGTGTGTGTGTATTGGATGAAGACTGCATCAGGGCCAGCACTGTCCCCACCTGCCACCCTTCTGCCGTCTAAGAAGGTCCTGTTGAGGCAGGTTTCTGGCTGGGCCCCAGGAATTCTGAACCAGGTAGTTGTGACATGTCCTTCCTCAGGCTCTCGCTCTGCATTGTCTTTGTCTGTCATGTGTAGGCACCTTTCCAGACGTGCCATCTCCTGGTTCAGGGCCATCAGGTTTGCTAGGAGAGTGTTAATTAGTCCAAGAGAGGAGAGATGTAGGAGAAAACACATCCTTAGTCCAGGCTGTGCCGCAGGTCAGCATATAGGGTGATATATGTCTTGCACGGAAGCCACTGTCTGGGCGATGTGCACAAGGCTCCCAGTCTTTAGGAGGCAGGGCTGGGAATGCCTGAGGCCAGTCAGCTATGAATGGTGTGTCTTGGGCTGTTCTCTGCGTTGCTGATTATAGACCTGGTAACATAGCAGCATAAATGCCTCCTTCCAGCTCTGTTGGGCTGAAGCGCAGTGGAGCCTATGAAAGTCTCTGGGAGTCTCTGGGAGTCCCCAGGGCTTCCATAGGTTCTAAGGAGAACAGGTTCCAGCTCCTGATGCTGACAGCACCCAAGTACTCACAGCTGTGACCCCAGGTCTAGATTTCCATCAGTCGCCAGCCATGGCTGCCTTCCTTTGTTAGCCCACAAGTCAAGCAAGGCGGGAAAGTAAGCCACTCATGGAGTGGGGACTTACATCCCACCTGGGCTGTGTGAGCCCACGGGCCTTGAGGTGAGCTCTGCCTTGACTCCCATCTGTCAGTGTTCACGGATCTCAGGGAAGATAACAAAGCATGACCCCCACGGTGCCAGGTTCCCCTGGGCAGCCCCACTCCCCACTTTGTCTCTGCTGATGGAAGGCAGAGACAAAGATGCTCTGCCTTCCATCAGCACAGAGAGTCGTCCTTTCCTGGAACTTCACACGTGGGGGAAAGCAGTAAGTATCTGGGTTTGCTTGACACTGCGTCCCTTTGAGAAAAAGCATTCACATTATAGAGAGATAGTGGTTGGCCTATCATCCACAGTATGGACAGACCACAGTGTATTTGTCTGTTTACCTAGTGATGAGCGTGTGCACTATGTCCGGTTTGAGGACATAGCGATGGTTGTATGTGCTATGTCCAGTTTGAGGACATAGTGATGGCCGTATGCGCTATGTTTGGTTTGAGGACCTGGTGATGGGCGTGTGCACTATGTCCAACCTGAGGTGACTTCAGAGGATGTTGTTCTGGGTCTTCTGTCTCAGCTGTCACTGAACCATTTGCCAATGATTTGTGTGTTTACTACCCACCCCAGTATGTGGGAGTCTGTGCACCTCACCTCAGTGAGGTCATTAGACATGACTGTTATGGATGTGAGGTGGCCTGCCCTGCGCTCTCGTGTGTGTCTGTGATAACCAGCATCTTTTCGTGGGCTTACGTCTCAGTAGATGGCTAGATCTTATGCCGAAGTTTAATGGGCTGTATGATTTCTTATTGTTGAATTTTGAGAGTTCTCTATGTATTCTGGATTTAAACACAATCATTGTCTTCTTCATATTATCTCTCTCCCTTTCTTTCCTTTCTTTGATTTTTCAAGACAGGGTTTCCTCTGTGGAGCACTGGCTGTCCTAGAACTCACTCTGTAGACCAGGCTGGTTTGAACTCAGAGATCTGCCTGCCTCTGCCTCCCAGTGCTGAGATTAAAGGCGTGTGCCACCAGTGCCCGACTCCCTTTCTTTCTTCATCTCCTCCTAGGATATGGATATATACCTATATCTATATAAATATCTATATGCAATACCTAAATAAATAGATATAACATCTCTCTATATATATGTATATATTGATATCTCCATGTACGTGTGAGTGATTTTGTGTGTGTGTGTGTGTGTGTGTGTGTGTGTGTGCATGTGTTAAGCTGGTCTTGAACTTGTGACCCTCCTGTCTTTGCTTCTCAGGTGCTAGGATTACAGGTGTGAACCACAATATCCACCTTCATCTCTTCTTAACAGCATCTTTAGAAAAGCCTTACTTTCTAATTTTTTGCTGAAATTCAAAGATCTCACTTCTAGTGTCACCTGAAACTCTGCCCAAGGTGATCCAAAGACCTACTTTCAATCTTTAAAAAACTGTTTCCCAACTTCTGTCACTGTTAAAGCCCCTTTTCCCCTGCTGAGCCGACTCTGAGATGTGGGTCATCAGCCTCCCACACTTGAGTCTATTTCTGGTCTCTCTTCTGTGCTGTAGATCTCCACGCCCGTCTTTCTGTACCATCCTGTCTGTCTCTCTGCCCACCTCTCTGAGCCATGGCTCTCCCTGTCTGTCTTGGCTGCTTGTTGCCACATCCGCAGAGAAGAAAAAGCCTGCTGGAGTTTCAATGGGGCAGAGAAATGACTCTTGAGACCCGTTGTTGCCTTTTCTTTAGGTCTTGTTAGATTTCTCTTAGCCATGTTTGCACAGTTTTAAATGCCCCCTAAGGCAGTGCTTTTTAGGTTTGCGGAAGCTGAAGTTCCAGGAAAGCTTTGCTGCTTCAGGGAGAGCCCATGCTGCCCTCTTGTGGTCAAACACAGCAGTGGTGGATGGAGGAGACTTACTCCTTACTATGCAGATGATGAACCCATGACCTGGTGTGGGCAAAGTCTATCAGTGGCGCCCCTCCCCCAGAGAACAATGTCAGCCTCAGAGGCTAAGAGCAGCATTCCCTAGAGAGCCCTGAGAATGAGTAAGGGGCCCGAGCACAGCTCATGGGATGTCCCACTAGTTTGACCAATCCTCATTTGTGGCTCCAGATCCTATATCCTGCTAGGACTGAACTCAGCCATGAATAACCGTGTGAACATCAATTCTAACCCAAGATAGGAGGCTCTGTGCCCCAGCCAAGGAGCACTAGATGTCTCTAAATAGTAGAGCCTCTAATTAGAGACCTAATTGGTCTCTAAGAGGTGTGACATGTTGGCATGATAAAAATTTATACTGTCTGCTGCTAGTGAGATGTCGTTAAGATCTGCTTCCAGGTATCACCCTACAACCCTCTTATTAATCACTAGGGAATGGTCCTCCATATTTTCGGAAGGACCTATCTTGTGGTTCCAGTGAGGACAGGCTCCTGAGGGAAGGCAAAGGAAGGAGTGACAACCGCTATTGTTGGCCAACTTCTATTTCAGGCTCGGGGTCAGCCATGTTTCTGTGGCATTTTCTGTCTCTGACGTTTGAAGAGTTTCTTGTTTGTGCATATCTGTAAGACCCACTCTCGGCTCAAAGGCTGTCCAAAACCCGGTAGCAGGCTCCCTGGGCTGAACTTTGGCTCCAGCAGCGCTTGCATGTTGGACACATATAAAAGGCATGAAGCCAGCATAGCAGGAGATCCTGGTTTGGCGTCTGCGTGGTTACTGTTCTCAGAGAAGAAGCCAGGGGAGTGTGGACCATTTATCAAGTCACTGCTCCTTTATCAAGGTTGGATCCCTGACTGTGACCGTGACCGACTTGTGACGGATAGCCTCACCCTTGCGAAACACCATAGTCTTCGAGGCAGAGGTCATAGCAAGTGCCACAAATGTCCAGACAGTTCTGCAGAAGAAATGGCGTGTGTGTGTGTATGCGCGCGCCTGTGTGTGTGAATTCACCACTGTGTATGTGCATATGTATGTCACACGTGCCTTCATCTGTCAGAGGCACCATGTGGATGGTGGGGTCTAGGTGAGCCTCTGCAGTTCACCTCTCAGCATTGCTACTGGCTTTCTGTTTTTCAAATTGCACGTTGGAAGAGGAGAACGTGGTAAGAAGGAGTTTTGCTGGAGAGGTGTTAAAACAAACCCAGGCATCTTCTCGAGGGTTTCGGTTGTCACTGGACTTACTTTAAATGGCTGTGGTGACTTTGGTTCTTCTGTCCTGTTGCCCGTGTTAGGTGGCCATTGCCACTCACCATCCCCCTGGTCCCTGTCCTCAGGGCTTTTGGTGGGTGGAAAGGCAGATGGCCGTTCTCATAGCCTTGTCCCCGGGACTCTAGCTGGGTGGAGAAGCAAAGTTTGGGCAGCAAAACCAAGAGCCTGGGGCTGCTTGAAGCTTGACAATGCCACCTCTACCTCTTCCCAGCTGAGACCCTTCCTGGCACAAGCGGAACATGGGAAGAGAGTGTCCAGAATCATGGGAGTGGCTTGATAAAGGTGAGGCCACTTCCCCATGACCTTGTCCCAGGGCACCTGGGAACCCTCAGTGGCTTCAATGCTTCTCACTGTGACTTGACCTCAGGCCCACACTCCCTCCCTTGGCCTGCTGCCCTGTGCTCTACAATGCTTCTACCCCCAACCTGCACCTCCATATTCCCAGGAGGCCTGAGATTCAGTCCCCTGAGAATGCAGCATGAGGGGAACTTGTATGCAGATTGTGGCAGCGGATGTCCTCTTTGTCTCTAGGGAGGTCTGAAGGGACAAAAGGGGGAGCCAGGTGCTCCGGGCTTACCAGGCCCAGCTGGGCCCCAGGGTCCTGCAGGCCCAGTGGTACAGAATCCCAGTGCACAACCTGCCCCTGGAGCACAAGGACCCCCAGGGCCTCAGGGGCCACCAGGAAAGGATGGAGCTCCAGGAAGGGACGGTGAACCGGTGAGTCCTGGCCTCCCCTTGTGACCTGGGCTGGAGCTGAGGTCTCTGACTGGGGCTGGTGGGAGAGTTGGTTGGAATCACAGCAGTAGCATCCTTGGATACTGGAATTTCTACCAGCCTTCTGCTGTGCCCTGGAGCCTGAAGGTGGTTAGAGCACGGAGGTCAGGGATGCCCAAAGTCGACCCTGGACCTAAACTCTACTGCAGAAGTGCTGTCTGTTGTGGGTCTGGGTCACTCAGAGATTTGCCATAACCATGAATGTATTTTTAATAAAAGGAGGCTTTATTAAATAGTGGTGCCAGCTACCCATGGCTCCAGGACTGCAACCGAGAGCACTCCCAAGATGCAGCATCTAGTTATATTCACCCATGGCTTATAAAGTCAGACCGCACATGATTAAATGTATTCTGTGTACATATGGGCAGGGTCTAATTTTAACATATATGTCTTGCCCTTGTCCTAGTAATTGAGCAGAGTGAGCAAGTTTGATTACTAAAGTGGAAAGAGCAGTTGGTCTTATGACCTATCTTACCAGAACAACAACTTTTACAAGATCAGTCCACTTAAAAATAGTCTTCAACCTGCCTTTAATCCCAGCACTCGGAAGGCAGAGGCAGGTTGATCTCTGCTAGTTCGAGGCCAGCCTGGTCTACAGAGCAAATTCTAAGACAGCTAGGGCTATACAAAGAAGTCATGTCTTAAAAAATAAAAACAGAACAACAAGATACTTTCCAGTGTCTGGAGGAGAAAGGAAAGTGGGTGCCAGGTTTACATGTTAGAGATATTTTTTTTCACTTTTTGGTCTCTTTCTGTGCCCAGTCTTGTGTAGTGGCTTCAGGGCAGTTCGCATTCATAGTGTCTTCTCTTGCCCGTTACAGGGTGACCCTGGTGAAGATGGAAGGCCGGTAAGTTACTGTTTTCTCTGCACCTGACACTACCGTGTCTCCACGGAATCCGCAGGCCATCGGCACACACCGCAGGGTCGTGGTTTCCCAGAGAGGACACTTTAAAAAGGTGGCTTCGCTTGGGTTGTACTTTCGATGTAACTAACTACAGGCGGCTAAAAGCAGGCACAATGTGGCTGCCAAAACCACAGGGTGTTGTTCCCAGATTTTCGGAGGGGCTGGGGTGAGGGCTCACAACAAAGAGTGGGGAAATCGGAATGCAAGAGAGGGGCCGCAGCGCTGAGGAGATGGGGTCCCCCGCACTGCCAGAGAGGCCACAAGGAGCTCTTGATGCCAGACAGAGCCGTGTTGAAACTACACACAGTCCAGGCTCAGTGCTAACCGGAGGTTTCCCTAAGCCCAGTGTGTCCATCACGTTTGCACAGACGCATGTGCATCCCATACACACGCAGTGGACTTACCACTCCACCACGGAGATCTGTGGTTCCCACAGATGATTTCTCTGAAGAGGATGTGTGCTATCCATAGCCAGTGTTGTCACTTTTAAATCCTGTTTTTTTTTCCTCTGGGGCCGTCTTGGTGGCATGGCCTCTCCTGGTTTATTAGGCCTCCATGAATCCCTGAAGGGCTTGGCTCCTATCTGCCCTCTGCTCTGAAATGAGAAACAATTGGAGCTCAAGATTCATTGTATGAAGGAAGAGAGGTGCTTCCCTCTGCCTAACCCCATCCTTGTCTTCCAGGGTGACACTGGACCTCAAGGCTTCCCAGGAACCCCAGGAGAAGTGGGCCCCAAGGGTGAGAAGGTACGGTGTGCAGACCAGAGCATGGCCCCTTTCCTGTCCCAACTCCTAACTGAAGGTGGGGACCATGTGTCCTCAGTGTGACAGATTCGTTTTATGTCCCAGGGAGATCCTGGTGTTGGAGTTCGAGGACCTCCAGGACCCCCAGGGCCACCAGGACCCTCCTTCAGACAGGACAAGCTGGTAAGTTTCCTCCTTGGCCTCCTCCCCACCAGGTCTCAGTACTCAACCCTATGGACCGGTTCCTGATAGTGTTGGCCCAAGAGCATGGGTGCCTGCTGCGGGCTTAGGAGGGTGGCCAGTCTGTGGGGCAAAGCATGATGCCCCACCTGCCATGGCAGGCATCTTTGGGTGGTTGGGGACAGCTGGGTGGTGCTATCTGGTACCCAGGATGAGGAATTTATGTCCTGTGGTGGCTTCTCTCGCCCTTCCCTCAGACCTTCATTGACATGGAAGGATCTGGTTTCAGTGGTGACATGGAGAGCCTCAGGGTAAGTGGCTACACCCCACACCCACTGTCACTGGGCAGGATGTCTGAGACATTGTGGGGGGGACCCTTGGGGGTGGGGCAAGACTAGCAGGGAAGGTGATCATTGCCCAGCATGGCTATGCATTCTATGATGGACTGTATCTCTCGTGTCCAGGGCCCACGAGGCTTCCCTGGCCCCCCAGGACCCCCTGGTGTCCCAGGACTGCCTGGTGAACCAGGGCGCTTTGGGGTCAACAGTTCCTATGCTCCAGGACCTGCCGGCCTTCCTGGTGTGCCTGGGAAGGAAGGGCCCCCCGGATTTCCTGGTCCCCCGGTAAGTTCTGCTGCCTGCTCTCCCCAGAGCATCCTCTTGGCTAGGAACAGGGTAGGAGAGAATCACATGAGGTCTCTAGCTGGATCTTCCTCAGGTCTCCCATGTTCCAGTCTCCACGCCTCAAGGTGGAGGCTGGTCTCACTTTGGGTCACTCTCATTATGGGGGTGGGGGCAGGCTACCCTCTAGTTCTAGGGGTGCTGACATACTAGGTGACTCTGGGACACACATTTACCCACTCTAGACTGAATGGATGCATGAGCCTCCCACCTTAGTTTCCCCAGCATAACCAGCAGCCCCAATAAAGAGCACACACAGTGGCCTCTACACTGTACCTCTGAGCTGTGCATACACGAGGGGGGGGGGCTGCAGTTTACATCCTGACTCTCGGGAAGGCTGGGTGCCAGCTGTTACCTGCTCACCATGGATCCTGTCCATCCTATCTCTTTGTTCTTCTGTCCTCCAGGGACCTCCAGGTCCTCCAGGCAAAGAGGGCCCACCGGGAATGGCTGGCCAGAAAGGCAGTGTTGTAAGTCAGCTCCTATGGTGTAACTCAGCACACACTTGTAGCCAGCGGGTGGTGGGCACTGCGTGCTTGGGGTCTGTGGAGAGTGTGTGCCATAGGGTGAGCCCATGGACATAGCCTGCATCTTCAGCTTAGGTAGATTCTAAGTTGTGGAGCCGGCAGGGCTCGGGTTCAAGTCAGGGTCTCCCTCCATATGTGTCTTACCACTACAGATGGACTAGCAACTTAGGGGTCGGCCATTCATTTGGTTTGAAAGGGTGATTTCAGGTTTCAGTGTAGCTGGATTGATAGATGCCTTCAGAGGCTGGCCAGTCTCTGCTGACCACGATCTACTGTGGTCTCGGGCTGACGGGGTGGGGGTTGGGGGTCAGACAGAGAGTTGCTCCCACCACTTCCTGGGATGGGATGAGGAAGACCCACATGCTTGGGGGAGCATCAGAAGGTCCTTGTAAATGGACTATTCCCAGAGCTTGTCTCTGCTTTAGTTAAAACCAGCTCCCTGGCTCGGGAGGTGTTCTGAGAGGCATTCATGGGACTGGTGGGTTTAGGTGCTCTGGCCTTGGGCTCTCTGGGCTCCCCTCCCTGCTGAGCTTACCAGGGGTTACTGTCCTTAAAAGACAAGGGAGGGGGGCAAGAGCAGGCCCAGAGAACACTAGAGTCAGCATAAACCAAAGACAGGACCCTTTGAGGCAGGCAGTCACCACAGGGCTGTTGTTTTGTTTTTCTCTGATTGCTACATACATGTCTGAATTTATTGTAATCCTATCCTTTTTTTCCCCATAGGGCGAGGTGGGCATCCCAGGACCCAAGGTATGAGTCAGTTTTCATTCTGGCAGAGTTGGGGCTACCTGCTTGATAAAAGTATTCAGGCAGGATATAGGAGGCACCCAGCCAGTGAATGCATTGTGTGTGTGTGTGTGTGTGTGTGTGTGTGTGTGTGTCTATCCACTCAGTTCTGTTCTGCGAATGCAATGGAACCAGAGGTGTTGGGTTTAGAAATGAGCTCCCAGTAGGCAGGTACAAGGGAAGGATCCCTGGGAACTCCTGGGGTACCTCAATCAGGTACCTCAGGATCATAGCTGCCCAGTTCATCATGGTCCTCGGTGGCACTGCCAGGTTCCTCCCCCATTGCTGCACAGGGAAAGCCATGCTGGCTCTCCTGTGTTCTGAAAGGCATCCTGGCCGATGTTCAAAGAAAAGGCTGGGGCTGATAGAAGAATCCAGTGAGGGAGAAACGAGAGCAACAGGGTCATCAGAGGGTAGATGAACATGTCAGAAAGAATTAAGAGATGGGTTGGTGTGGGCTGAGTATGTAAATCTGCACGCACGCTTGTTTCTCTGTTGCATGCATGTGTCTCTGCACAAGACACTGGTATCTGCACTCATGTGCTTCCGTCTGTACACGCGCACACCCTTGTATCTGCATACACACACAAGGAGAATCTTCAAGGATAAATAAATGAAGTGTTTTACTGAGGTTAAAGAGGAAGGTTAAAGAGTGAACCGCTGTACCTGGTACCCACCTGAAATGGAGTAGTTACATCCATAGCTGGAGATCCCACACCCACATAGATGCCCGCATTCTCATTATTTCTGAAGGTGCCCAAAGGTAGCATCTTGTGTAGACCAGGCTGTCTTTGAACTCAGCTAGACCCTTTGTAAGAAAGTTCATGCAAGCGAGGCTGCCTGTGTTCCAGCTGGGTTCAGGACATCTCTCATGCCACACGTGCCTCTCAGCAGCCCAGGAGAGATTGGTGGTGGTCTCAGTTCCCACTTCATAGAGGTGACTTGACTGCCAGCAGGGTCCCTGGGGCATGCTGGCCCACCAGGTCCAACTTCAGGGCTAACCTGCTTGGAGTAGGGCTTTCTGAACCAGGACTTCCCTGCCTGAGTGCCAAGTCCCTGCCTCAGTCTGCTTTCTTGATCTGGTCTCTCAGACTCCTAGACAAGTCCTGTGTTTGCTTCTGCTCCCCAAGTTCTTCAAACTCACAAAGTCATAGTAACACCTGTGCCTACGTTACCCCAAGCACTTGGTGGCCACAGGGTCCCCTGCAGACCCACCCTGTACCTTCCAGGGGCCTGTCCATCCTCCTTACCTGCTTTATCTGTTTCTTGCTATCCCTGTTCTCAACTGTCAAAGAGCTGGGACCCAAGGTTACAGGCCATGGTGGACAGCCTGCTTTGTGATTCTTGTGTTGTGGCCAAAGCCATGACGTCAGGCTTGTGCGCCTGTGAATCTCACTTCGCCCTGTTGTTTTAAGTCAGTGAATTGCCTGTATGGCTTTTGTGGCAGGTGATTTATCTCTGAGTTTTCAGATTTTTGAAAAGCATTGCAAGGAAGTGCATGTTCGTTGGGTTGCCTGTAGCTTTGCTGAGGCCCAGAACCACGGTGACCTTGTCCTTCTGTTTGTGCAGGGGAGCAAAGGAGATCTTGGGCCTGTCGGTGTACCTGGAAAGACTGGCCTGGCTGGACCCCCTGGGCCAACTGGACCACCAGGACCCCCAGGACCCCCGGGACCACCAGGACCAGGATTTGCCGCTGGATTTGTGAGTCACTGGGGGGCCCCCAGAAAGCCTGGGCCATACAGCTGCCTTCCCTCCAGACAGCTCACAGCCTGAGCAGAACCCCCTAAGCAGGGCCCAGCTCTTGTCACGTGTGGGTTTCTCCTATTCCCATCTTTGGGCTCCCATGTCTGACTCAAGTACCTGAATGGGTTAGCTCAGTTCTGGATTGGCCTCACTGCACTCAAAGCACATGTGTTTACGCTCAGATGTCCCATCGTCTGTGGGTGCTGTCCCCAACCCTTCCACGCTGAAAACCTGCCTATGAACCCAAGTACAATTTCTCTTGCACACGTGCAGACCAAAGCCCTGTGACTGAGTAGGATGCATACCCACCAGGGTTTGATTAACACACACACACACACATACCCCAAGCTCTGTCGGTCATCCACTTCCCTTTCCCCCATCTCCCTTTTCCTGGCCTCAGGGAAGTTTCCTTCTTAATAAGGCTCAGGCACTGAGCATCCCTCTTGTGCTCCCTCCAGGATGATATGGAAAGCTCTGGGATGCCCTTCTCGTCAACAGCCCGAAGCTCCGACGGGCTGCAGGTACTGCCCATGGGCTGGGGTAGGAGGAGGGTCCCAGGCCAGTGGTGTCTTTGGGACAGCCTTATATAGGGCAAGGAACCACCTTGCCCTATATAAGTGCTTCTGGTGAGAAGCACGGGGATGTGAGCCATAGTACCTTCCACCCCAGAAAGACCTGCTCACAAACTGTCGCTAGGGATGGGGGGCCGGAGTGGGGTGGTGACAGATTCATAGGCCTTTCCCTCTCTGATTTCTTCCATGGCTGTAATTTGAAGAAGTGACAGATATTTGGCCAGAGTAGACTGGAGTTAATGGGGCCTTTGGGGGAGTCACCCCACGTTTCTCTGTTGACCTGTGTGTAGTTTGGATTAGGTCAGCAAAAAAGAGCTGAAGTCCCAAAGTCCCCAAATGGCAGGTATATCAGGGCCCTTGTATGCAGGCATGCACAAACTCTACGGCACTGTCTAGGATACCACTTTTCCCTGAGGAACAGCAGTTATGTCCTGGAGGATACCAGGCTGACCTCTAGTCTCTGGGGCCACCACTGTGCTACCGTGACAGTAGCTAAGTATCATTATCATTGTTGTAATTCTTTTTTTTTTTTAAAGATTTATTTATTGGTTATATACAACATGTTTTCCTGCACAACAGGAAAGAGGGAACCAGATCTCATTACAGATGGTTGTGAGCCACCGTGTGGTTGCGGGGAATTAACTCAGGACCTCTGGAAAAGCAGTCAGTGCTCTTAACCTCTGAGCCATCTCTCCAGCCCTGCTGTAATTCTTTGTAACTTTTTCAGTATATAGTTTTATTTTGAAACAATTTCAAATGTAGACAGGTTTTAAGGACAACAGAAAGAACTCCCATGTAGCTTTCAACCGGATACTCAGTTAAAGTTCAGCTTTTACAATAGAAGGCTCTGCTCAGAGCTCCTGTCACACCAGCCTCCTGCCTCAGTTTTTGTTGTCCCTGGAGTCAGGAGGTTTGGAAAGGGCTAATGAATGTGGGATAAAGCAGATCCAGGTCACTCACTAACACTTGTTTCCTTTGCTCTGGCAGGGACCTCCAGGGTTGCCAGGACTCAAGGTGAGTGAGGGAGGCCTTTCTTGGAGACCTGCCTAGCAAGTTAATACATTGTGAGCTCAGCATGAAAGTTTGCAAAACACAGCAGGCGACTTCATGGAAAAATAGCCTCATGTCCCTTCCCATGCACTGAGCATTAGTGGGGTCATGCCCTATCTTTCCAAGCCCAGGAAATGAGATTCCTGCCTGCACACATCTGAACCATGCTAAAATTTTGAGAAGGAGACCAGAGCCTCTCCATGGTTCTCAGCTTTAGGGACCCGTAGGGTGGTGTCCCCTTCTGGAGGATCTGAGAGTTTTGTTCTCTGCTTCCCATGTCATCCTTGGGGACACTAGCCCACAGACTAGGCCCCGTCCTTGGCCCCCACCTTCCCTTGCACTCAAGTCAGGCTCCCCAGGGTGGGGGCAAGGGTGGAGAGCAACAGAATAGTCCCCACCAGGTGTCCTTACTGCCCAGCTGGCCTCTGCTGTTGCCCTACTTCTAGAATGCTTTTCTGTGACTTACACAACACTGGATGAACATTTCAAAGGGCTGGATTTTTAGATGGGCCCAAATTGGATTTCTTTGTATAGCTCTGGCTGTCATGGAACTCACTCTGTATGCCAGGCTGGCCTCGAACTCAGATATCTACCTCCCTCTGCTTCCTAAGTGCTGGGATTAAAGGCGGGCTTTTTTTTTTCTTTAAAAAAAAATCTCTTCAGAGGGCTTGTTTCTTTTCTCTCTCTCTCTCTCTCTCTCTCTCTCTCTCTCTCTCTCTCTCTCTCTTTGTTTTGTTTTTAAGACAAGGTTTCTCTGTAGCCTTGGTTGTCCTGGAACTAGGTCTTGTACTCCAGGCTGGCCTTGAACTCACAGAGATCCTCCTGCCTCTGCCTCCCGAGTGCTGGGGTTAAAAACATGTGCCACCACCACCCAGCTAGAGGACTTGCTCCTTATAGTGGAGGTGGTGGTACTTGCCACCAGCTTCTACAATATCCAGAACTATCCAATCCCCATGATTCTAGGATGTATTTTATACCTTCCACCAGTGTGGGTCCCTGGGACATCTAGGGTTCTAGAAGGGCCCAAGTGCTGGGGCTGGGACATCCTGGGTGATTAATAAAGGGGCATGTAGCTTGGTTTAGGGTTGAGCCAGTTGACACCCCAAGCTCATAGAACTTTTTGTCCACTTAGGGGGATCCTGGAGTGGCAGGGCCACCTGGAACCAAGGTAGGTACTTCACCCAGAGTCGGGTGTATTGTCCACTGGGGATGGAGAGGGGTCTGTAAGGATAGCAAGCATGCCCCACAAACCTCATGTGTCAGGCACATCTCAGAGGCAGCCTAAGAATAGCAGGCATGGAGTGAGATGCCTGTACAGTCCTGGCCTCATTGTTCCTTATACTTTTGTTTCTTTGTAATTTAATGTGCCCGATTCAGAGAAAACTACCCAGGTCACACCCCCATACACCCGCACCAGTTGTGGGAAATGAGCTTCCTCCCCTTCTTACCTTACCTTCCCTGCCACCATCCTTCCTGTCTTCTTCTTCCTCATCCCACATGGATGGGATGCTATATCCATGGAGAGAGCTATATCACCCTCCAGGGGCTGAGCCAAGCCAGCAGAAGCCTAGGCTACGGTCACATCCATGGTTGCTGTGACCTCTTCCCTGAGAGTCTCTGCTGCCTGGCTGCAGGGCTGACTCTGGCCCCTCCATTTGTCTGTCCCAGGGAGAAGTTGGAGCAGATGGAATCCAGGGCATCCCTGGCCTCCCAGGAAGAGAGGGTGCAGCTGGACCCCCGGTGAGTGAGAGACGAAAGGCTTAAAAGAAGCCCCCAGGAAGAGAACTGGCATCTCAAATGGCCCTTCGGGGTATCCTAGACATCTGTGTCCCCTACCTGCTACATTGTGGCCCCTGGAGCCAACTGCAAGGCTGGTCAGGGTTTGGGTGCCCATCTCTATTCTCCAAGGTTGGCGGCAACACAGACTCCCTGTCTGTATTGGAAGTCAGGCCCAGGTAGGCTGGTCCCTGAAGGGATTCTGGTTCTGTCTACGATGACCCATTTTCTCTGTCTCTGCAGGGACCAAAAGGAGAGAAAGGGACCCAGGGAGAAAAGGTAAGTGTCTGTAGCCTTAGATGCGCAGTGAACAGAGTTGAACTGCCTAGGCCTCAGGGTGAGGAATCCCATCCTGCCCCAGCCTCAGGCCCAAGCTACCTGGCCACCCATGAGACCTCAGAGAGTTGAGGAGAGACCCTTAAGTTAGTAGGGGTAGCTCTCAGCAAACTACTGTCTGCAAACCTAGTACCTGGGCTATGGGTGGGCTCTGGGGTCCTGGCTGGAGAAACTAGAATTATTACTTCTCTGCCGTTCTCTTCCAGGGAAACCCAGGAAAAGACGGAGTTGGGCTGCCAGGCCTCCCTGGCCCCCCGGGACCTCCAGGGCCTGTGATCTATGTGTCGAATGAGGATGTAAGTACACTGTGAAATGCAGCGGGGCTCATCCCTCAGTCTAGGGACTGCTTGTAGTTGACCTAACTGCCTCATCAGAATGGCGTAAGGAGCGTTGGCTTCTCAAAAGAAGGCTGTGTTGGCTAGAAGCTCTCTCCTTGCCAAAGCTTCTTGACCTTTTGTGGTACCTGCAGCAACATAGTCAAGTGGCCTTGCCTCAAAGTCAATGGGTCCCTCCTAGCCCCAGTGCAGAACCCCATGGTCAAGCTGCTGCCTGTGCTCAGTTCTCTGCAGCAAGAAGCCCAAGTCTCTGGTTGTCAGATGCAGGGCCCACGGGAACTGAGACTGCAGGGGCCAGGCTGCCCTAGACAGAGCTAGAGCTTGGTTGGGGTGACAACTGGGCTCAGATCCCAGCTACAGTTGTCACCAGTGATCCTGGCTGGTTACTTCACCTTCTGCAGTCCTGGTACCCTCAGTTCTGAGATGGGGACAGTACAGTCCTGGGAGAAGGCACTGAGCGGTCACAGGAGTGCCTAGCCCAGGCCTCATGCTGGCAGGAGTGCACAGACACCATGGAACTGATAAAAATAATATGATATTTTAGTGAGACCTGGGGGAAGACAGGAGCAAGGGCTCTGGGACCAGGGGAAAGCGAAGAGCAACAACTGGTCCTCTTCATCAGGGGCACTGGTATGACAGTGAAGCCTTAGAAAAGGCCCCAGCAGGTGGGGCTGCTTGCACGTGAGGGACCAGAGCGTACGCCCCAGGCCAAGTGTGTAACACGACAGGAGAGTGACGCCAGCTCTGGCCGCTCCATGCTGGGAGGAGGGGACCCCCCCTCAGGAAGGGAAGGGGACCCCCCAGGAAATGGGTCACTTGTCACCTGAGCACCTGCAGAGAGAACCCAGGCATACTGCTGAAAGCACAGGTTTTTCCTAAATTCTTCTTTGGATATGCTTTTGTGTGCCTGTGGCTAATGTGATACAGGTGATTTTAAACTCAAACGCAGCTTTCTTTTCTTTTCCTCTACTTTTTATTTCCCGATGGCGTGGGGACAGAGAGCAGTAGTGAGCACGCCAGGACCTGAGGTAAGTGCCATCTTGCTTCCACGGAGGGTCCCGGGGAGCTGGGTTAGAACACCTGTGAGAGCCGTGTGTCCCCAAAATTCACGGTGCCCTTCTTTCCACAGGGCAAGCCAGGGTACGCAGGCTTTCCTGTAAGTAGCTTTGCTTCGGAGCAGCATGCTTGCCCAACAATGCTCTGCACTGGGGGGTGGGCATGGGCTCTGCTTGGTATGGTACGTACAGGATGGTAGTGTAAGCTTGGGTCATTGTCATTGAGGACATGATGCTATCAGGAAGATAATGGGGGCTGGAGGATATCGCATGGTCCCCTTGCCATCTATAATTGTTCAGGACACTGAAGGGCTGCCTTGATATTGGGTCAGGGACCCTCATTTCTATCTGGTCTTCATTGTAGGGACCTGCCGGGCCGAAGGGTGACCTGGGTTCCAAAGGCGAGCAGGGTCTTCCAGGGCCCAAGGTAAGGGGCTGGGGTGCCATCTGCCCCTTTCCTAGAAACCACAGACCTGCTCCGATGACTCCTGAGGCAGGCTGGGCCCCAGGGGTACTGGGACATGCCATCTCTATTACCTTAATTCAGAGGGCTCTGGTCACAACCTTCCCACGTAGACCAGGACTCCCTTCCTCTGTTTCTGACTTGGGTCTTGGGGGTATCTGAGGCCTTATGGCTGAGCCCTGACCTGTCCTTCTTGTCCTGCCCATTTCAGGGTGAGAAAGGCGAGCCAGGTGTTATCTTTGGCCCTGATGGCAGAGCCCTGGGCCCTGCCCAGAAAGGAGCCAAGGTGAGAATGGGATTGGGGTTCCCTGACATTGTGAAGACAGAGTGGGTGGGTGGGGCATCCTGACAGAGAGGCAGGATCACAACACAAACCTTTCCTGAATGGGTTTCCCAAGCCTCCCATGGCCTAATTCTGTTCCTCTCCCTTTGCCTCTTGCAACCATCCTGGGTGTGTCCTCATGACCCCCAAAACCTGCCAATGGCTTGCATTATCCCCTTGCTACTGTTGCCTGAGATCACTATAGAATGGTTAGTGATATAGGCTATGGCCTAATGTACTCACTCTTCTGCCTGGCCTTTGTCCATGGGAGATGAAGGAGCCCAAGGCCTACTGGGGCCACCCCATGTGTAGGCAACCAACAGGTTATACAGGTAGATGTACCCTGTATAACCGAGGTATCTAGACCTCCTCCTTCCTGTGGTCCTGAGCTTGCAGCAGCCTGAGCCCACGCCCAGCTGGCCAGGACTTGCTCCTCAGACTGTTTTAGGCTTCCACCCCCATCAGGCCTTCCAATTACCAGGGGAAGGGCTTTGGGAAGCCTTGGTGGCTATGAGGAATGGATTGTCATTGGCCTACAATGTTGTCAGGGAGTGAGCCAACGATTCCTCAGGCCCAGAGAACCCCCCTGCTGACAGAGGCTCTGTAGCTGAATAAGACCTGGGTGACCTTAGCTCTACATTGTCCAAGTTGGATCCCACCCTCACCAACCCAGGGCACATCCATCTGTGTCTCAGACCAGACCTGGTCCCAGTGCTGGTTTCTGTCCTGTCCTGGCATAGCCAGCAGCCTTGGCTGCCAGCCTAGCACATCCACATGGGTACAGGAACTCCAGAAGGCAGCAGGCAAGGTTAGCCATAGCTCACTGACGTACCTCTGATTCTCTATTCAGGGAGAACCAGGCTTCCGAGGACCCCCGGTGAGTAATGCCCTTTTGTTTACACTGGGTTTGTGGCCCAGAGTTTGTATCAATTGCCACATTGAGAACATGGGGTGGGGGTTGGTTGCCTGGATGACAATTGGCAGTTCCTCAGAGAAGGCAACCCTGGCTCTTTTCTGGGATGACCCCTCCCTCTTCACTAGGAGGCCTCACCCACCCTCCAACTAATCATTCTCTCTGTAGGGTCCTTATGGGCGACCTGGGCACAAGGGTGAAATTGGCTTCCCCGGACGGCCGGTGAGGATTTGGTGGCCTACAAGTTGGAGATAGTGGGTGGAGAGCACCTGGGGCCTGCAGAGGACTGGGCCCTGGAGAAAGTGGACAGCTGCCCCTCCTGTCCTCCCCTTGGGTACAGCGATCATATCTACGTGGCCAATGTCTTAATATTTATCTGGGCTAAGAGTACACCTCATCTGGCACCCCATAGAAGGCCCTGGGCAAAAAGGGGGCTCTGACCTGGGACCTTCTAGTCAGTCTCCTGCCTCCTCTAGCTTCTGGGCAAAAGTGTGAAGACTTGACCCTGGGAAGGAAGGGGCTATGTACGGGCTGTCCAGTGCCCAACAAGCCCTGTTACTCTATTCTGCTCAGGGTCGTCCCGGAACAAATGGATTAAAGGGAGAGAAAGGGGAGCCTGGAGATGCCAGCCTTGGGTTTAGCATGAGGGTAAGTGTCCTGAAATGGCAAATGGGTGGCTTGGAAGACCAGGGAACAAGAATGGCTAGGTCAGGGCCTCTCAGGTCACCTAGCAGGCTGTTTGAGATGGCTGATGATGTAGCTAGATATGTTTGTCCTGACTACATTTGCATAAATACTCACATGTGTTTGTGGGCACACCCACAACTACACGCACATATCTGCATGTTCCTATACCCAGGAGAGAGAAACATGGGATCTTAGGGCATACCTTCTCTGGATCCACCAACACAGGTTTGTGTCTTTTAAAATATCCACTGCCTTTGACTTAAGGGATTTTGTCTCATGGCATCTCTTGCCTTTCTATTGGAGCCAGCCACTCAGAAACTCAGGGGCTCCCCTGAGCATGGCTGTGTCCAGCTCTGACTCCCGCCTCCCACTTGCTTTGCCCAGAGCAGAGATAGGCATGGAAATCCAGATATGAGTACTCCAGAGAGTTCACATTTGTGATGATCATGGCTGCTGTTGGTTTCTTGCCAGCTGCCTCCCCTGTGCACTAATGCCTACTAACCCCGTGCAAAATCAAGAGCAAACTGTGGTGTTTGCAGAGCTGCAGGACCAGCAGTCATGGGCCAATCGCATCCATCCCAATGGAAAAGACTGGCTCTTGGATTTCATCCTCAGCTAGGATTTTTGAAATCAGGTTAAACACTGTTTTCCCTGCGGGGAGTGTATCCCTTAGTCTGAGGTACCATCCAGTACACAGATGCTCACAGCCCTCCCCCCAATCCATGGAGCTGTCCTGGGGAAGGCAGGCCATGCAAGGTGCCTGGTCATGCCTATTCCTTACACGGGTCCTTGAGAGGTCTTTTGCAGAAGCAGTGTATAACCATCAGAGAATGGGCCAGGCTGTCCCTTTCATTCAAGTCAAAGCCTTCTTGAGTGACTTAGCCACTCCTGAGTGACCTCAAGAGAAGTACAACTACTGGCCCTGGGCAGGAAACAGGCAGGCCCAGCTGGCAGGCACATAAATCAGCAATGCAGTCTTGATTTTTTACATCATCAAACGCATTCAGCTTTCTGATCTGACTGCTTCTCAGAAGAATTTCAGCCCGTGTCTGCTGCCCTAGCCTATACTGATGGTTAGCTGTGACCTTGACTAACCAGAAACTTCTGTCCCTCCACAGGGATTGCCTGGCCCCCCTGGGCCTCCAGGCCCCCCAGGTCCTCCGGGAATGCCCATCTATGACAGCAATGTAAGTGGTCAGAGCTTCATTCTCTGAAGGCTTCTCTCCCATTGCTGCCTCTGGGATCCTCTCTGGGTATCTCTGGAATGGGTCTGTCGGGTAGGCTGCACCTGGAGGCAGTGGACAAGCAGTGAGTCCCCACGGGACTAACTCTGCGGCTTCGAGTCAGCCTCAAACTCAGCCTTAACAAGGGGAAGAGGTGACCAGTGAAGGCAGGTCACTGTGACTAGGACTCTGGACACAGACCCTGCCCCCGTTTAGAACGCCTATGGAAAGAGTTCTGGTTTGATTCTGGAGAGGGGGCCCTGGGATTTCTTGCCTTGGGGACCCTGGTAGTCTTGCTTTCTAGAGCCCTGTCCTTCAGCACTCCTCTTCCTTCCCTCCCCTCCCCCCGGTTGTTCTTTGTAGGCATTTGTGGAGTCCGGCCGACCTGGACTACCAGGACAGCAAGGTGAGGGCACTGGGGCTCACAGTGCATGCGGAAGTCTGGGGCTCCGGTAGGAAGATGCAACGGGATAGTAACCTCAAACTGATCAGGAAAAGATGGAGCTGTGGGACTTGACTCTCTGCTAACTCTGGGTATCCAGTTCCCGGGTCACGTTCTCAAGCCTACCCTACTCCTAATATCACACACCGGGCATAGCTGTCCAGGGAGTCTAACTAGAGGCTCTGGTGCTGGACATGACCACCCAAGATTTCTCAGAGAAGGTGCAGGGACAGCCCCAGCCATCTATCAGTAGGGACATGGAGCAATGGCTCTTCCCAACACACACATCTGCTCCTCCTGAGCTCTGAATCTGACTATGTCCCCCACCCCCGCCTTTCTGGTCTAGCTTCAGCCTATGTACACAATAGCCAAGACTGGGGACATTAGTGGGAGGGGCCTTGACCAGACTTTCACTGATAGCCTTGGGGTCTCTTCCCCTAGGTGTGCAGGGGCCTTCAGGACCAAAGGGTGACAAAGGAGAGGTGGGCCCACCTGGGCCTCCAGGTGAGCATACTTTGCGTGGTCCAGGCTGAAGGTTGTTGGGTACAGTCAGCCTCAGGGTGGGGCACTAGAACCTGGGGGGTACTGGATACCTGTTACACCATGGTTGCTGCCCAATGCTCTGGAGGGGCAAAACACATGCTTTCTCAGCTCACCGAGTCCTGAAAAGACCTGGATCTAGGGATCAATCTCCACCAAAATCATCTGGAAAAACAGGATAAAAGTTGAGATGGAGGGAGGACCAGCAGAGAAGAGAGCTGAGGCCACTCCCCTTGAACCACAAAAGCATTGGCACTCATGGGCTAGTGGAATTCCCTACTTAATACCAGCCCAATTCTCCCCATCAGCATCATTCCGAGTGTGTGGTGTGGTAAAGAAGATACAGGCACTGGAACCAAGACAAGACCGAACCAGAGATGGAGAGACCAGATCCCAGGCCTCCTGGTTACCAGGCAGGGACTAAGACTTAGCGTGTACCATGTCCCAAAGCTAAAAGGAAAGAGAATCAGAGAGCAGAGGGCTCTTTGGGTAAAACCTGGGACACAAGAGTTCAGAGAACTGGGGGAGATGATTTCCCCCGAGGACAGCCAGGGTCAGCTGGGAGAGGCCATCTCAGCACCTCGCCAGTGGAAGCACAGATTGAGAGATGAAGTCCACAGAGGGAGGACACAGCAACGGTCTAGCGTGCTTGTCACTGGAGAACCAAAGAGAGACAGCAGTTGAGGGCAAAATGGCCCAGAGTTTCGAGACTGAGAAAAGATTTGCAGTGTTTCTCACAGTGAAAAGACGTACAAGAAGACCAGCAGAGATGAGGAAAGCCAGAAGACCCTGCGTGTTTCAGAACATCAGAGGGAGGCTCACGCCGCAGAATTCCACAGCCCAGGAGTATGACTCTGCACCAAGAGGGTGGCCTAAGCAGCAAGCAGCCTGATGTGCAGTGCAAGGCTCCTGGGAGAGACAGAAGCGGTTCCCAGAAAGGGGGAGGCAGGAAACAGCTGACCAACACAGCAGGCAGAGGACAGGCTGCATGGCCACAGGCCCGGACTCTCTGGAGCAGTCTCTCTGATGTTTAGCTGAGGTCAAGGGTACAGATGAACTTGAAAGAAAGCCAAAAACAGAAGAATGTGCCCGATGCACAGATAAATGATACCAAAACACAGAGCAAAGATGATGCAAATCAAGACAAAGACGGAGAAGGAGCCCAGAGCAGGAGCATGTAAAAAGCAGCAGTCAGAATAGATCTGAACCCCCAGGTTTTCAGCAGCTGAACATGGGCGCTTCTGTTGGCAGTTGGATGGGAGTGGACTGGCTCCCAAGAGAGACACAGAGAGACCTCTCCCTTAGGACAAAGGCAAGCTAGAGAATCAGGATAGAGGGAATTGTCCCAGGAGAAGGGAGCGAGCAATGGTTGGCAAAGTGTGCGTGTGTGACCGAGTGGATCTTAGGAAATAAGCTGGAATTTAAAAAACTCTCATCTTGATCCAAGTCCATCTGCCAGAATAATCCGGTAACTGAACTCTTGTGCCTACAATAGCAGAACCTCGGGATAGGGAAGACAAGGAAGAAAAACATGCCGTCATTGGAAAAATTTAACCTGGAGTTGGAAGGGCTCAGCAGCCCCAATGCTTGACTACATCATCTCTGGCCATATGCCAGTCACAGGGACTAGTCCCTGCAGGCAGAAGCATTCTGCACGTTGAGAGGGGGATAGTCTCGTGAATCTAGTACAAGCCCATGGTGAGGGAGCACCTGCCTTGGAGGACTGCCCCAGAGCAGCCCTGCTCCAGGCAGTTTGCATGTCAAAGGAGAAGCAAAAGATCGGGAGGCAGCCTGGGGTGGTGGTGCTGACAAAGCCTCTCTCAGAAGCCTGAATCGCTGGGTCCTCTAAGTCTCTCATGGGCTGGGTCAGTGGGACCCCTTGCTCATAGGTCATAGGGTCCCACAGACCATGGCCCAGTTCTACAGAGGTCCTAGGACAGGGGCTGAGGCTTGGGTCCTCCTAGTGGCCACTGTCACCTCCAATCCCAGGTGGCACACTTGTAAGATGACTGGGCAGGGGCTGGGCATGAAATCACTGCTCTTGCCCATTGGAGTGAAGAGCCTCCAAGACAGAGACTCCACAAGGACATCAGCCTTGCAGGAGGACAGAAACAGGAAGACCTGACCCAAGGTTGCTACCCCTGAAAAAAGGGGTTAACCCCTCTTCACAAAATACAGCCTTAAATGGAATGTTATTGTGCCTCCAGGCTGAGGTCCTAGGAAGCAAACGTCACATTTGATGAAAACAGGAAGGCATTTTAGAGACAGAAATAAATAAAGTCATGTTTTATTTATGTATAAAATAACAGAGATCAAAAAGAAAAGAAAAGAAAAAAATCCAAAGATGAAGTTAATTCTTTGAAGATGCCGAAACATCTCCCCACCCCTGTAAACTCACAGAGACAACAGGGAATGGCTTAAAGGAGCGACCCTGGGCCTTGCTGACCCTATGCCTGCAGTAACAGGACCAGGCTTCTTGAAGCAAGGCGTCTAGGGAAAGAAGAAGCCAGTTTACACAGATACCAAGTCTCCAGTGTACACAGCCCTGAGGATCTGTGGGGTGACAGTGGAGTGACTGCATCTCTCCAGGCCACCAGATAGGCAGCCATTAGAAAAGCCACTGGCTGGTCATAAACATTTACAGGTGCAATTCTGCAGAAACACCAAATCCATTAACCAGGATTAATTTAAGATGTGTGGTCCTTACACAAATCCATGAGGGCGGGTGACCCAGGTGGGGTGGGGGAGGGGAGTACAAACCGTGGAGTCAATGCTGTCATCTCGGTTCACTCCCAACCTCCCTTCCTACCCTGCAGGGCAGTTCCCCATCGACTTCTTCCACCTGGGAGCGGAAATGAAGGTGGGTGAGATTGCTGATCAAGTTGAGGGAAGGTGGATGTCCTGATGGGGTGGCTGGTGTCCAGGCAGGTGCCTCTGTCCCTGGTGACAGGAGTCTACTGACATGCAGCCAAGCCGCTTTCCTTTCTTCTGATGCCATGAGGAACGCTGGCCTTGTGGGAGCGTCCTCTCTGAACACTCATTGTCCCAGGCTGGTGGGGGTGGGGTCGATACAGCAGGAGGTGGGAGCCGAGCTGGATCTGGAAGGGGACCAAGGAGGTGCCCATGACTTAGGGTTAGTGCCAGCCTGTCATCCCCACCTGGCTCAGATAACCATTTCCACCTCTAGGGTGACAAGGGAGACCGAGGGGACACTGGACAGAAAGGAGAGCGGGGAGAACCTGGGGCTGCTGGTGGTGGATTCTTCAGCTCAAGTGTGCCTGGACCACCTGGCCCGCCTGGCTACCCTGGAATTCCGGTAAGCCTGAACCCCAGGCCTCCTGCAGGCGTCCACACATCATGCCTGGCTGTGTGCCCTGAAAGACTCAGACCAAACCCTGCAAGCTCAGCTGCCTAAGACCCCACATCTATTGGCTCCTCTGGGCATGAAGCTAGGTGGGTATATGGATCCTGGTGGTGGCCTCATTTTTTCCTCGTGGCCACTCTTCCTGTTGTTACCTGTCTGCTACTGTCCCTGGCTTTGAGCAGCATTGAGCAGACTCCAAGGGTGTACCATCACAGTTGTCATGAGGGCTGGAGGGAACAGGACCACTGGGGGGCCTTGGGGATGGTTCTTTGTCCTGGGACCACAACCCCAGCAAAAGGAGCCCTGTGGTAGGCTGGGCTGTACTGGTCTTAAAGGTTACTTCCACCTCCGGGGCTATGAGCAAATAAATACAGTCCCAGCCTGGGGCATGCGGGATACAGTGGAAGGTTTTCTTGTTGTTCCTAGGGTCCAAAGGGAGAGAGCATTCGGGGCCCACCTGGCCCTCCTGGTCCTCAGGGACCTCCTGGTATTGGCTATGAGGGGCGTCAGGGGCCCCCAGGACCACCAGGACCACCAGGACCTCCCTCGTTCCCTGGTCCTCATAGGCAGAGTAAGTAGGAGAATGGGAAGTGGGCCTGGGTCCCTGAGGGCTACCCATGGGGCCAGGAGTTCCCAGCTTCATCTCTCTTGTAGCTGTCAGTGTTCCTGGTCCACCAGGCCCTCCGGGCCCTCCGGGTCCCCCTGGAGCCATGGGTGCCTCCGCTGGGGTAAGTGTTCAATTGGCCAAGGTCTGAGGATCTGGATTAGGACTGGGGAGGTGGGTGGCATCTCAGGAAATCCTCCCCATCAGTCAACTGGGTGCAGAGACCAGTGTCTGGGATCATGGGGTCCCCAAGGTACCCACTTCTACAACCTCTACTCCTTCTTGGGGTGATAGCCTGACAAAGATGGGTGCCTACCGAGAGTTACCCTCTGGTCTCCCAAATCCTCGGAGCTCTGGGTACTCAGGATAGTAGGTCCGACATTGGGCTTGGGTTGGGGTTCCAGCAGGTGAGGATCTGGGCCACATACCAGACCATGCTGGACAAGGTACGCGAGGTGCCGGAGGGTTGGCTCATCTTCGTGGCTGAGAGGGAAGAGCTCTACGTACGTGTTAGAAATGGCTTCCGGAAGGTGCTGGTGAGTTCTCAGGGACCATCCCCCCAACAGCCACAAGAAGGATGGAAGGTTTTCTTAACTTTAAAGAATAGTAAGCAGGTTCCTCTGCATTTTGGGGGTCAGCAGTAAATGAATGTTTATTAGTTACTTTTATCATTGCTGAGACCAAATTCCCAGCAAGAAGTACCTTAAGGGAGGACAGGTCACTTTGGCTCACGGTTTGAGGTATGGTCCAGGGCAGTGACGAAGGCGCAGTGGCCAGGATGTGTCAGACAACTGGTCATACGGCTTCTGTCGTCAGGCAGCAAGCAGATAGGAAGTGGGGCTACTTCCTCCAGTGAATCTCTACCTGCTAAAGGTTCCACTATCTTCCCAAACAGCGCTGCCAACTGGGGACCAAATGTTCAACATAACCCTGGGTTAGGGTGGGGGCAGAGGGGGGTAGAGTTCACATTCCACCAACAGCAGTGTAACATGAGGTAGGGTCCTAGCTCTAGGGCCCAGGTGGGTCATGGCCAAGACTCTTAGCTGTCCTCTACGGGGCATGCAATGCGACAAAGCATCAGGGCTCGTCTTGGCATAGAGGCTACATATGCTCTGGATCCCAGCACTGTGTTATATAAACACCACTGCGGAGGCCGGCCAGATAGCACAGTGGGCATAGATACATGCCACACAGACCTGTCAACCTGAGTTTGATTTCAGAACCCACAAAAGGTGAAAGGAGAGAACCCGTTCTGCAGAGCTGTCTTCCAACCTCCACACACACACCATGGCATGCGCACATATATATTATGCATAGAGACATATAATAATAAACACCACTGTGATGAACATCCTTAGTACTGGTGGGATGCCTCAAAATGCATGATGGCTGCTGGGTGCCAGCTTTTGGGTTCTGGTTTCTATAGGCCTGGCAGACCTATCCTTCAATGCCTTTCTGACTACCAGCCCTTCTGTCTGGCCTGGGAGAGTCTTTGGTGTCAGCAGTAGGTCTAACCAGTGCCCACTGTTCACTTAGTGCTAAAGAGCGAGGTGTAGTCACGGCCCTCTCTCTACAGGCCTCTTCCAGAGGGAGGGGCCGTGGGAAGAGGGTGACAGATGAGAGGCTCTGGCCTGAAGCCTGCTGTAGTAACCCCCACTGTTGCCTTTCAGCTGGAGGCCCGGACAGCTCTCCCACATGGGACGGTGAGGAACCTTTTCTCTCTGTATGGCTGTTAGAAGTTAGCACCGGTAACAGAGCTCAGGGAGGTCACATGGTTCCTTGAAGTCCAGGAGCCAAATGCATGTGGCTGGAGGTTTGTGATTGTCCTGTACAATGCAAAGAATGGTCTACAATAGCTTTAGTTTTCAGCTTGGAATGAATGGATTTATAAAGTACACAACAAACGGAAGTAAAAGAATAAATAACAGAATATAGATAGATAAATGAAGCATTTTCAAACTGGGAACGCAAAACATTTGGCAGACATTGATGATTAGGGTTGGGGGGTGCTTTAAGGCAGCCAGCTGGAGTTCCCAGGAGAGTTCTGGGGAGGTGATGTCACCAGGCTGGACATGCACAGCAGCCAGCAGAAACTGACTGGGGAAGTTGGGGCATCAGCTGGAGATCCTGACTGAGCTTTCTCCCCACGACTGAGCTTACGGTTAAGCTTCCCACAGTTGACCAGGCAAGCGCATTTATGCCGTGGGACAAACCATGGTCACCTTGGTTGGAAATGGCTCACTTTCTAGCCTTCAAGGGCACTGTGTTTTACTCTGTTTTGTTCCTTTCTTCCCTCCATGCCAGACAGTTAGTGGGGCCATCTCCAGTTGAGGGACCTTGGAGGGGACTTTGAGACAAATATGCTTGGGTTGTGAAATGGGGGGAGGGAGCAACTTCACTTCCAGAACCAGCCTCTCAGTGAGTTCAAACATGTGACGATTGACTAATACTAATAATGTAGGGTCTTAGCCTGAGCAGTAGCCAGGAACCCCAAGGAGGCTGTGATGAGTGACGACTGTCTTCCAAGCGCAGGGAGGACTGGGGACCTGAACAGAGGGCAGTGCCACCCATTCAAGTATCTCGGGCTGGCTCATGCCGCGCCCAGGGCTAAGGGTCCATCTCCCTTCCCATCACCTTGGGCCCAGCCCTGTCCTACCTAAGAGCACAGAACAGACATGGGAAGGGATCGTACCAGGTGAGGAGTTACTCCAGGCACTGTGCACTTCCTTCTCAGGGCAATGAGGTAGCGGCTCTGCCCCCGCTGGTGCAGCTTCACGAGGGCAGCCCGTATACCCGGCGGGAGCACGCCTATTCCACCGCTCGGCCCTGGCGGGCAGATGACATCCTAGTCAACCCACCACGTCTGCCGGATCCACAGCCTTACCCTGGAGTTCCACACCACCACAGTGCCTATGTGCACCAGCCACCAGCCCGCCCCACAAGCTCACCTGCTCACACGCACCAGGACTTCCAGCCAGTGGTGAGTGTCCAGGGTTGAGGGGCATGTGTTCATCCAGCCCTAGTTCTGGCAGGATGGAGCAAATTCCCCCAGAGCTGCCAGAGGAAATACTGTGGACAGAGATCTATGGGTGAGCTTCTGACTAATGTGGGCTACGCATCACTTAGGCCAGGGACTTGCCTTCCCTCTGGTGGGTTAATGACTGTCCATGAGATCAAACACTTAGGAGCCAGTCCCTGCTAGTCCTTAATATGGCAGAGGAGAGAACACTGGATCATGCGTGTGCTGTGCCTCTGCCCTAGAGGATGCTGGGACAACCAGGGATGGGCAGCTACTCCAGTGCCAGCAGACTGAACTGGTCCCTGTTATTGCTCATAGCTATTAACGGTTCTCTTAGGGAGCTGCTGGAACCACAGTGCCTCAGACATCCTTTGATATCCTGGACTGAAAGGGACCAGATAGGGCTGCTTGAAGGCTTTCACTGAAGTTACTGCTGTCTTGCACACTCAGTGGAGGCTGCCTTGTGTGCACTGTGCAGCCTAGAGGCTAGAGGATAACATGTGACATTGCTTATGATGTAATTCTACGTGACCTTTCTTGCAGCTCCACCTGGTGGCACTCAACAGCCCGCTGTCAGGTGGCATGCGTGGCATCCGTGGGGCCGACTTCCAGTGCTTCCAGCAGGCCCGAGCCGTGGGTCTGGCTGGCACCTTCCGTGCCTTCTTGTCCTCTAGGCTGCAGGACCTCTACAGTATTGTGCGCCGAGCTGACCGGGGGACTGTGCCCATCGTCAACCTGAAGGTGGGTGGAGGTGGAATCTGTCCTCCTCCTTGAGAAGACCAAAGTATGTCCCCAGATGTACCCATGCCTTAACCTTTGGTGTGAATTCATAGCTGGATCTCAAAATGCCCCAACAGTCCTCACAAAGCTCCTTTTACCCCCGCACCTCCCAGGGCCCTGGTTCTTGTCCCATGGGTGTTTCTAGTGGTTCCTATGCTGCTGACCACATAACTCAAAGTGGCCTGGAACCATTTCTGTGTGCCACCTAGCCTGGCCCCTTGCCACAGGATCTATCGTGTGGCTTTATTCCTGGGTCTTTATGATTAAAAAAAAAAAAAAACTGGGATTCTTGATGTTCTTGCAGCAGTATTTCCCAGAGCCAGTGATGTGGACTGAGAGATCCCAGTGTCTTGGGCTCGGGAGGGCACCTATGGGTCTCATCCACTGTGATGGGGTGTACCTTTGGCGAAGGGCTTCCTCTGCCTCAATGTGTTCCTTGGTCTCTTGTGATCTCTCTAATATTCATTCCTCTGGCCTGATGTGACAGTGACTGACATCTGTTTGTCTCCTGTAGGACGAGGTGCTATCTGCCAGTTGGGACACCCTATTTTCTGGCTCCCAGGGGCAACTGCAGCCTGGGGCCCGCATCTTTTCTTTTGATGGCAGAGATGTCCTGAGACACCCAGCCTGGTAGGTCTCCCAGCGTTAGATGTGTCAAGACCTCCATCTTTAGACTGACACAATCTATACAGAAAATCACAGGGCTGGAGAGATGGCTCAGTGGGTTAGAGCACTCTTCCAGAGGACCTGTGTTCAATTCCCAGCACCAATATGGCAACTTATAACTGTCTGTAACTCCAGTTCTAAGGGATCCCATACCCTCACACAGACATCCATGCAGTCAAAACTCCAATGCACATAAAACAAATAAATAAACCTTAAAAAAGAAGAAGAAGAAGTCACAGAATCTTAGAAGAACATAAGAATGGCTGGTCACAGTATATTCAAACACTAGCCCGTCAGCACCCTCAAAGCCATGGCAGATATGTTTGTTCATCGCCTGTGACTACTTAATTAACTCTCTTGCTCAGCCATGTAAATGTCATGGAAAAGGATGGATTCTGCAAGACAGCTCCCGTGCCCATAGCCCTTGGTCACAGAATGCACCGGAAATGCTGACAAACGGCTGGGCTATCTTCAGAATGGCATCCTACCCAGCTGGCAGCTCAGACACCTGTTCCAATGACCATGCTCTCTGAAGAGTGGCTTGGGGAGCTACACAAAAGTCCCTAGGTGGCAGTTGAGTTCTGACCACCTGCTTTCTCCACTCATGAGGGCCCTCCTGGCCCCTACATGAGCTGAGTGGCTAAACCTGGCAGCAGGGTTCACTCCTAGCATTTATCAAAGAAGAGTTTCAGAAGCCAGGTCTTGTCGGTGGGTTAAAGGCTAGCCCAGAGGTCCCCTAGCTCAGGCTACATCCCAACACCCTCTTCCTCTGCAAGAGTACACATCTGGGAGGTGACCTAAGTCCTTAAGGGGCCCTTCATTGTCCCGTCATCCCACTACCCCCAAATATAGCGGCTGGCCTCCCATCTTCTTTGCCCCAGAGGGCAGGCCTGCAGGTTGCTGACAGTCTCTATGCCTTGCAGGCCTCAGAAGAGTATATGGCACGGCTCAGATCCCAGCGGGCGCAGGCTGACGGAGAATTACTGTGAGACATGGCGGACCGAGGCCAGTGAGGCCACGGGTCAGGCCTCCTCCCTGCTGTCAGGCAGGCTGCTGGAACAGAGGGCTGCGAGCTGCCACAATGCCTACATCGTCCTGTGCATCGAGAATAGTTTCATGACCTCCTTCTCCAAGTAGGACCTCTGCCAGTAGCATGGTGGACAGGGAGGCACAAGGATGGACACAGTGCAGGGAGCATGTGGTCAGCGCCCAGGGCCTGGCTGCGATACGATCCTGTAGAGTTCACATTTTATGTAATCCTCGAGAAATAAAAGGAAGCCAAAGAGTATATTTTTTTAAACATTTAAAATAGACTTCCTGCTCTTCCTCTCCCACTTGAACTGGCCAGGCTGGTATTGCAGATCTTCCTCCATGCTTGGTGGAGCTCTAGGGCGAAGTCAGGCGGTAGCTGGGTGTCAGCAGGGGGCTGCCCTAGGGCTGTGGCCCCAAACCTGCTGACTTTCTCTAACCTGGCATCTTTCCATGTACAGAGCCTTTAAAAGGCAGTCTCATGTGCGTGCTGGGGACAGACCCAGGGACAGCGCAGGGCAGCTGGGACTTTTCTCTCAGCACCCAGTGGCTGCCAACTGTACAGGCAGGCACCTGCTCACCCAGGTGCTAACTGGGACCACCCATGCTGATTGGTGGGAACCACCTCTCCTGCTTCCCCGTCTCTCCAGTAACAACACTCCCTGCCAGCAGCAGGTTTCCAAGCTTAGGACTCACTGTGATGACCGGATCTGAACCCTGTCCCCTGTCACTGTGTACAGAGGTCAGGAGTCTGGTCAGACTTAGCCTCATGCTCATTTTGCTGGGGGCCAGAAGTGACATGGGGCCCACTCTCAGGCTTGTTTCTCAGACTGGCCTCTCTGGTGACCCATGAGATCCCATCCTGAGTGGAACCGAAGCCCAACCAAGGTCAAGAGCCAGGTTCTGGGAGCACCCTGTCCTTGCTCACCAGCCCGAGGTCCACGAATCTTGCAGCAGCTGCACAAAACACTTGTCTGGCAGAGGGACATGTGTGCTCAGGGCCACAAGTGGCCAATCATAGCCACTATACCTTCCTCAGGCTCTGCTGTCCAAGGATGGGGACAAATCCAATGGGGCTAGTTCTGTGATTCTGTGTGATATGAAGCCATTTCATAGAGGCACCAAATAAAAGTGACCTTTTATACAGACACTTGGTTTATAGCTGCCTTCCCTGTTACGAAAAGGACAAATCATCCAAAATGAGACCTGGGAGCCTCTGTCCCTGCGCTTCCCAGGTGGAGGCCTGCAGAGGGAGTACAGGTGAGTGTGGATATAGTCATGTGTACGTGGATACGGGCCTCTACACATACATGTGAACAGGCAAACAGACATACATGTGTACATGTGTATGAATACATTGGCATACGTGGTCAGGTGTGTATATGCACATGTTTGAATGGGTATACAGAGACTAGGCAGTTATACACAAATGTACATGGCTGGGCACAAAGGTGCATAGGCATACAATGGCATGTGTGAATGTGTGTGTTGTGTATGTGTATGGTATACAGAGGTGTGCATGATATGCCTAGTTAGATGTCTGTGTACATGTGTACAAAGGCATATGCAAGTGTGTATATAGTATATACAAGGTGTGCAGGCATACAATGTATTATTGCACAGATGTATACAAATGTTGTCAGTACCCACCACCTGGTTTCCAGCAGTGCACACAAAGGTGACTTCAAAATCATGACAAGGAGGCTTAGAGAGATGGCTCAGCAATTAAGAGTACTTGCTGGTCTGGTAGGGGACTAGCGTTCAGTTCCCAGCACCCCCATGGCAACTTACATCCCATCCATCCATCCATAATCCCAGTTCCAGGCAATCTGACACCCATCTCTGCCCTCCACAGGCACCTGGCATATATGTGACACACACACACGTGTGTGTGCACGCTCAAGAAAACACTCACATGGATAAAATAAAAATAAATCTCCAAATTTTTGCTGAGATCTGTTCACTGGGCCCCAGTCCTACCTCTTGTATTCACTATTTTGTCCTGACTCTAAGAGACTGTGCTTGCCAAACAGAGAAGGCCATGTCCAAAGCCTCCAGCCAAGTGAGGGCTAAAGAGCTGCAGGCCAGGGTGGGCAGGTGCTGCGGGGGAGGGCTTTTGCAGGGAGAGGCTCTGAGGATGGATGCCAGCAGGTCCTGTCTTGCTGCCCTGGGTGACACTGGAGGAAGGGCAGGTATAGCAGGGGTGGCCACACACCATCTCTGCCTGTGGCAAAGGACAAACCTGTGTCCATCAGTTGTGTCCTACAAGATCCCCAAGCCCAGGAGCTGGAGAGATGGCTCAGAGGTTAAGAGCACTGCCTGCTCTTCCAAAGGTCCTGAGTTCAATTCCCAGCAACCACATGGTGGCTCACAACCATCTGTAATGGGATCTGGTGCCCTCTTCTGGCCTGCAGGCATACACACAGACAGAATATTGTATACATAATAAATAAATAAATAAAAAGAAAGAAAGAAACCCCAAGCCCAGAAGGGATGGAACTAGCCCTCCCCAGCAAGGCTCTCAGGGTGCTGCGGCAGACGTGAATGCAGCTGGCCCAGTGTTCTCACAAACCGTCACTAGCTGGATGTCTGGCCAGCCCTGCTTGTAGCCTCTTCCTCAGCCCAGCCAGGGTCCCCAAGATGACCTTTCTCAAATGGACCTTTGGGTAGGTCCTAAGGCACAACTGACTCAGCAGCCCCCATAATCAGCAATTTGGTTCTCTGCTGAGTTGGTCAGCCAGAACGGATATGGCGTGCATGCCCTAGGGGTGTCAGATCTAGCAGTGGAGCTGGAGGTCAACTCAAGGCCACTGAGGGCCTACTCTCTGCAATGTATCCTTGCTTTGGCTGAGGCTAATCAACCCCTTACTCCAGCTTTTCACAAGAGAAAAAACCAAAAGTAGCTCTCATTTTAATGTCAGGGTTTTTTTTTTATTTTTTAAAAAAATCAGATAGTCATCCAAACAAGCACCTCCGATGATGGAAGTGTGACAGAATAGCTAGAGGCCAGGATATAGAAGGACCAGCACCCTGCAGGGCCAGCGTGCCTTGGCTGCTATCTGGGCTACCTCACTAGCCCTGGGGACAGAGATAATTTGTCCTGAACTTCCAAGGGCTAAGGGCAAGCTGGCCTGGTGGGCACAGTTGACCCCAATACAGGCTCTTCCTGGCAAGCAATAGGCAATTCAGGTTCACAGTGGCCTGGCATATGGGTCCCATAAAGCCAGGCAGCTGCTCTTGAGTGTTCCCAACAGGCTTTGGCCACAGCTAAAGCAGGAAGTAGGCTGGGTTTAGGGTCCTCAGAGGCTATCAGTAGGGACAAACTATTGTCCCTCAGTTAGAGCAGGTGGCTCCTAACGTGAATGCTGTGAACATTCTGGGGGTTCATGAAGGCAACACACTGCCCACATGTCTTGGGCAGTGGGACTCAAGACAGTACAGTCTTGTCTTGGCTGGTTCAGGATGGAGGTACATGGGAGGGGTTGCTTGAGTCAGGAGTCCGCCCCGCTGAACTGGGATGAAGCCAGGAAGGTCAAGATGGGTCAGGCCTTGGCTTCAAGTCTCAAGCCTGCCATGCTGTCCTCCACGCCATCCTCTGCGAGTAGCGGTGGTGCTGAGGGCTGTGGTCCCTTTAGGCCTCCATCCTGCACGCTTAGGGCCTGCACAGAATTCTCCAAGGGACTCAGCTCCTGGGGCAGGGGCAGGGGCTGGTGGCGCCGCCGCCGGCAGTACCTCAGGCCGTCCAGCGCAGCCCCAACAAAGCAGATGATGGAGAGCACTAGGAAGTACATGGCGTAGATAACGAACTGAAAGAGAGAGTTTGGGTGACCTCAGGTTTTGTACCCCCACCCTTGCCTGCCCTTGCCCCATCTAGGGGCAAGGTTCTCCATCATTCAGTCACCAGGTGGCCAGAGGAGTCATAGGCTTTGCCCAAGGGCAGATACCAGGGTGCTTGGTCCCTTGTCGTCGGTCAACTACAAAGGGTACCTAGCACGTCCCCAGGGATTTTGTCTGACATATGTCTGACATCTGTGTGGTCCTCGGGGACTGGGCCCCAGGCTCTAATGCATGAAACTGACTTTCTTGGCCACCAGGACAATGATCCAGGGCTGCTTCTCGGTCCTGGCCTTAATCGAAACTGGGCACAACCTTGACTTGCACAGCACAGCAGTGACCAAGAAGAGCCAGGCAGTCACGGGTCATGCCCCTTCCTGAAGGACCAGATATGTCCCTCCCAGGGAGGAACCTAACTACTGCCAAATGTACATGAAGGTCCTGGAACTTGCAGTGATCCAATTGGAGGCAGGTGAGTATCCTGAAGCCCCTTGGGATCCTTTCCTAAAAGATCGCATTTAGAGTAAACCAGAAATGACTCATGAGAGACTTTTGTTCCCAAGAAGACAGGATGGACATCCTTTCCCCATTCTTCCCGTGTCAATCAAACCCCTGCGTGCTGTGGGCAACACTCACTGGGGGTGGGCGGAGAAAAGCATCAGCCAGCTAGGCTTCAGGATCCATTAGACATGGCAAGTGCTGGCTATTTCTCTTTGCTTCATGGATCTTGGAACTGAAGCAGTCAGAAGCCCAGCATAGCTGCTTTCTCTACCCACAGAACCAGCACAGATAGAGCCCAGCTAGAGGGCAGGTACCAGGACAAGGTACATTTCCAGGCATGTCCCTCAAAGCCCCTGACCCTACTACCTCAGGCACAGCAAAAATCAAATGAGGACCTGTGGAGTGGGGCCGGACAAGACTCCGGGGAAGAAACTTGCACCCCACTTCTCACCCTTGTCCTCACAACGTCAGCATTCAGGGTCAGTGACTAGACCCACCACACACACACACACACACACACACACACACACACACACACACACACATACCTGGCAGTTATGAGGTATTTGCTGCCCTCTGCACTAGAGGGGACCGCATGGAATTGACTTTATGACACTGAACAGAAGTAAGATGTCCTGCCCGTGGGCAGTGAGGGGCCCACCGTGGGAGTTAGAATTACTCTTCTACCCAAAGGGCACCAACCAGCACTGCCAGGGCTGTGAGGATAAGGCGCCCTTAGCCTCAACACACAACACGGAGAGGCCTTTGACCTCTGCTGCAGCTCAACACATCCGAGCTGCAGACCTCACACGGAGGCCTCTGAAGATACGAAAACCAGTCGGCAGGGACTGAAGGCATCTGAGAAAGATTTCCAGAGCCACCATGAAATGGGTCGGCAAAGCAGCAACAATGCCCCAGAAATACAAAAGGGGAGAAGGTATCAGGAGAGATGAGAGATGGAAGAGGAATCAAACACTCAGGCCAAAGAAGCAGAACCAAGAGGAACTGATGAGAGAAGGGCTCATGAAAGAGGAGGAAGAACTCCCCCAGGAGACCCCACAGCAAACAAAACCAGCAAACAAAACCCTGCCCGTCCTCGATTTCTCTGTTTGCTTCTGCTTTCTGCTCAGGTGGCCTTGAACTCATGATCTTGCTGCTTCAGCCCCCTGAGAGCTAGCACCCACCGCAGGCCTGGCTTATGTTTTCTACGTTAAATTTGATGGTGAAAAGTGTAACTGATTAACATTGTCTTATGAGATTCTGAAGGTCTACGTGCAAAACATCAGGGCAAGTGGCCTGTCAACAATAGAGGGCGCGGTGATGCAGCTGCCACACGATACATAACCGGTAGTGCAATACATGTGCAGTCGCCAAACACCAGCCTGCTATTGGCTCCTAAAGAGACCGACAGCACAAACTAAGTTCTGCTTTCACAAGTGGATTCAAGGAAAAAAAACGCAAAGTAAAAACAACCCATGAGAATGGCTAATAGGGAAAGGTAGCATCGTGTGCTGATGACGGTCTGGGGAAATGGTTCTCATACCCTGCTGGTGGGATGGGGATGACCCCCCACTGGGAACCCTCAGGTCCACTTCCGGGCTCTCATTCCAGAGAAATAAACCCTACATTCACGCCAAACCTAGGAAAGAACTTGTAATATCCAAGGACTGAACACAGCCCATAGTGCTTCCGAGGCCAGCGGCTATCCCAGGCACATGGACAGCCTGCAGTAATTACAGGAACCATCTGCCCTATCTCAGAGGAGAACAGAGCCGCCGCCTGCCCGGGAGAACACCTATCTTGAGGGCTGATAAG